TACACATACATACATATATATAAAGGCACCGTTACCGTTTTAAAAGTATCAATTTAGCCAACACAATCTCATGGCAATTCGTAACTTTTTGATTTAGAGGCTAATTCATATGAATTTGTACAATCTAATTCGTACAATTTAGTACAATTTGCTCATCATCCAGTAATGGTTGGGATTAGGGGTGGGGTTAGGTGCCACGGCCCTTTTTTAAAACCATACATTTTCGTACGACTGAGCACATACGAATTTGTACGAATTAGCTATTAAACTGTCGAAACGTAAAATACTTACGCTTACTTGTGAGATCAGGCTGATTTAGCACCGGTATTGAAATAACGATACCCAACCCTACCTCAAAACATGTGCGCTTTATAATTACAGCAAACTGTTTGGAAGCATTAAAAGTGTACAAGATGTCCAAAATCTTCACATGCATTGACCCAGAGACTGTTAAGATGCATTTCACTAAGAAGATGACGGATGTTTACTGTATGATAATTAAAAAGGCCTTAAGCACCCAGCAGGCAAAAGACGTCAACATGACGTCAGAATGAAGTTGTACCCCAGTGTCGCGAAAATCATGGAAGTGTCAGATTTGATAGCAAAATGACGTTGGTTTAAGATGTTTGCTCGACTTTGCATTTTGGTCACTTTCCAACACAACCTAAAGTTAACCAACCAAATATCAACGTCGTTTGATGTTGTAATTGAACAAATAATGTTGTCCTTAGATGCTGGCTAGACTTTGAATTTTGGTCACCTGACATCACAACCTAAATCTCACCTAACATTAATGTCTAATGATGTTGTGTGCCTGCTGGACAATAAATACATGCACTACAGAATGTTACGTTTACACACACATGCACAAATTACATGTAAACGTATCAGCTTTTAAAAGCGTAATACTCACTACTCACTACTCTTGAGTACTTTTGAAAGGGCTACTTTGAGTAATATTTACAACAGATACTTTTACTCGACTCACACTACATTTTGAGGCAAGTAATGGTACTTTTCATTGAGTATGATTTTCAGTACTCTTTCCACCACTGGATATACCCTCTAATATAATTGAGTTATTAAAACTATTATGTTTAGAAATCTGTTGAAAGAAATCTCAATGCAGAAATTGAGAAAGAAAATTTATTAGCTGGGCTAACAACTACACTTCAACTACACATGCACAGTTTTTGAATGTAAATATGTACTATTAATGAGCCACTCGTCTGCCTGCAGCCATTAATAATCAACACTCCTTTCCAAAGTGAATGACCGACAGCAGTCGATAGCTAATCTTCAATGCTCTTGTAGTCTGTAATTAAAACATCAGCTTTGCTTTGAGCTTTTGGGGCGTCGACAGGCTTCAGTGCTGTGATGTGGGAGACTCTGAGGGCGTGGGGAACATGCTGAATGTCAATATCACCCGCGGGTTAATCTGCTGCAAATGACGCCCGCTGTCCCCTACTGTACAGCACTGATATCACGCCCTAAAGAGCCGCCTGTGGCTACGCTCACAGAAACACACACGCTTAAGGCTCCAGCGTACTTCAAATGAAGTTATTTTTTAGTTCTTCAATTGAGGGCTAAATGAGTTTGTTACTTTTAAGGCAATTAGTAGACTTCATTTATTTAACAAAACTAGTAAACCTGTAGCTTTGATAACGATTCATTGACTACTTAAATAAGGGTGTAAACTCACTACAGTACATAATATTTGACTAGATCAGGGGTGCCCTAACATTTTTTATGAATCCAAGCATGATTGAGAGCTTTGATATTTATAAATCAAAATTGCTTATCGTATCTACTAATGTATTATACATGTATTTTTTGAAAATTTTAACTATTTTATTAATTATGTTAATTATTTTAACAAACCTACAACAATAAAACCATCAAAAATTCAATGCCAAATACACTAGTCATGCTGAACTGCCTTTGCCTTGATTTGAACGCTTATGTCTTCTGCTTTGTCCCCTATTCGTTAAGCGACAGTATATAGATTTTTAAAAAAATCTGATTCACCTACAACATTTAAATGAAACATTTAATTTCCGATTTTTTTGTAGCTCAACAATTTAACAAACAAACAAACAAACAAAAGGTTACATTAAAATAGAAATGACAAACTCTGTTGAAAGCATTAGCCAACCCTTCCCAATGATTTTCCCTCTGGCGGGCCAAATCAAGGGATACGAAGAGCCAAATTCCTAATTTGGGCATCTCTGGACTAGATATTTGTCAAGATACTAGTATTCACCTTAAAGTGACATTTAAAAGCTTAACTAGTCTTAAGTTAAGGTAATTAGGCAAGTCATTGTATAACTTTGTTCTGTCAAAAACAAATATTTCTAAAGGGGGCTAATGACATTGACCTTAGAATGTGTTTAAAACAATTAAAAACTGCTTTTACTCTAGCTGAAATAAAACAAATAAGACTTTCTCCAGAAGAAAAAATATTATAGAAAATACTGTGAAAATTCATCATTCATCATTTGGGAAATATCTGAAATAGAAAATTCACAGGAGGGTGTACAATTCCGACCTCAACTGGAAATGAGTAGACTCCTTACAGATCCGTCTATTAACTTAATATTTTGTATATGATGCCATTCCATATATGGCATATATATATATATATATATATATATATATATATATATATATGTAATATCAATCACACTAGTGTGATCGTACACTTCAGGGACCAGCCAAGGCTGATTACACATATATATATCTTACGCTTCAGGGACCAGCCAAGGCTCATCACACCAGTGTGATCGTACACTTCAGGGACCAGCCAAGGCTGATTACACCAGTGTGATCTACACTTCTAGGACCAGCCATGGCTGATCACACTAGTGTGAGCGTACACTTCAAGGACCAGCCATGGCTGATCACACCGGTGTGATCGTACACTTCGAGGACCAGCCAAGGCTCTTCACACTAGTGTGATCGTACACTTCAGGGACCAGCCAAGGCTGATTACACCAGTGTAATCTTACGCTTCAGGGACCAGCCAAGGCTCATCACACCAGTGTGATCGTACACTTCAGGGACCAGCCAAGGCTGATTACACCAGTGTGATCTACACTTCAGGGACCAGCCAAGGCTGATCACACTAGTGTGAGCGTACACTTCAGGGACCAGCCAAGGCTGATCACACCGGTGTGATCGTACACTTCAGGGACCAGCCAAGGCTCATCACACCAGTGTGATCGTACACTTCAGGGACCAGCCAAGGCTGATTACACCAGTGTAATCTTACGCTTCAGGGACCAGCCAAGGCTCATCACACCAGTGTGATCGTACACTTCAGGGACCAGCCAAGGCTCATCACACCAGTGTGATCGTACACTTCAGGGACCAGCCAAGGCTGATCACACTAGTGTGAGCGTACACTTCAGGGACCAGCCAAGGCTGATTACACCAGTGTGATCGTACACTTCAGGGACCAGCCAAGGCTGATCACACTAGTGTGATCGTACGCTTCAGGGACCAGCCAAGGCTGATCACACTAGTGTGATTGTACGCTTTAGGGACCAGCCAAGGCTGATCACAGCAGTGTGATCGTACACTTCAGGCACCAGCCATGGCTGATCACACTAGTGTAATCGTACACGTAAAAGAATTAAAAGCATTAGGTTTACTTCCGTCAATTGATCTCATAAAAGAATGGATTTACTCACTTTAAGTAAAGCAAACTATTCGCTTTAAAAGCAACGTGTTTAATCACGATTTAAAGTACAATCAACTAATTGCATTTAATGTTTACTTTTTAAAAAGTTAGGTCAACTGATCAATTTAAAAGCAACATGTTAATCACCTTTTTAAGTAAAGTCAACCAATCACTTTAACAGCAATGGGTTTACTCATGTTTTTTTAAGTAAAGTCAACTCATCACTTTGAAAGCAACAGGTTTACTCACTTTTCTTTTTTTAGACTAATCGCTTCCTAAATGGGAAAGATAGCTTTTATCACGGATCACATCACATTTAAGAGTATAGCCACTTCTCCAAGCAGCACTTCAGGAATGATCATCTCTGACTGGCCTGCTTATTATTCAGATGGTGAAGAGAGCGTGTAAATGCCGCTCTCTGACACACACACACACGCGATGAGCCATATGTGCTGAAAGGTCTCTTTGGGCGGCGTGTGTCTTGGCTGTTAGTGAACTGACTGTCAACACGGCTGTCAGCATCTGCTCCAAGCTTTCAATCCCATCAACATTTCCCCAAATGACGGACCTCGAGGTCTCGACACCCTCTGAAAAACCCCTCAGCGGGGCGTCCCACACTCCTCCCTGTGCCTGAAATCAAGCCTCATCCAAATCCTCTTCCAATATCAGCCTGAAAAAAAACCTACACACACCCACAAGTACAAAACCCCAGGCGCGGGCGCAAAAACACGGCGTAACGCGAGGGTGTTTTGTGGAAAGTGGCCACTGGCAGTGTGTTGGATTGATTTGGTTGATCAGTATCTTCATGTTTTCATCAGGATCTACTGCCAGGAGAAAAACTCTGTCCTGCAGGACTGTGAGGATGATGGAGAGACCGCCGCCGGGGGACGACTGCTGCATCTTTTGCAGGTAAAAGTGGGGTTTTTTGTTTGCAGATCATTGGAAATGTTGGGTATAGCGGAGGTTGTTGAAGATATGATGACTTTGATGTGCTTTCATTATAGTTTGTTGAGTTTGTATACCAATACCAGGGTTCCCATGGGTCAGGGAGTTTCTGGAGTCTCATGCAATTTTTGTAATATTGATGTTCCGGAATTGAACTTATGGAAAATCATTGAATTTTTAGAATATCATGGAATTTTGTAATATAATTGAATTTCTGAAAAAAGGTGAAATTTTTGAAACATCATTGAATTTCTATAATATTGAATTTCTGGAATATTGAAATTCTGGAATAGCATTGAACTTCTATAATATCATTGAATTTCTGGAATAACATCATTGAGTTTCTAAAACATCATTGAATTTCTATAACATCCTTGAATTTCTATAACATCATTGAATTTCTATAATAACATTGCATTTCTGAAATGTTCTTGAATTTCTATATTATCATTGAATTTCTATAACATCATTGAATTTCTATAATATCATTGAATTTCTATAATATCATTGAATTTCTGGAATATCATTAAATTTCTATATTATCATTGAATTTCTGGAATATCATTGAATTTCTGGAATATTATTGAATTTCTGGAATATCATTGAATTTCTATAATATCATCGAATTTCTGGAATGTTCTTGAATTTCTATATTATCATTGAATTTCTGGAAAATCATTGAATTTCTATAACATCATTGAATTTCTATAATATCATTGAATTTCTATAATATCATTGAATTTCTGGAATATCATTAAATTTCTATATTATCATTGAATTTCTGGAATATCATTGAATTTCTGGAATATCATTGAATTTCTGCAATATTATTGAATTTCTGGAATATTGTTGAATTTCTGGAATGTTATTGAATTTCTATAACATTATTGAATTTCTGAAAATATCATTGAATTTCTATATTACCATTGAATTTCTGTAATATAACATTAAATTTCTATAACATCAATATTTTTCTGGAATATCATTTAATTTCTGAAATATCATTGATTTTCTATATTATCATTAAATTTCTGGAATATCATTGAATTTCTATAACATCAATAATTTTCTGGAATACCATTGAATTTCTATATTATCATTAAATTTCTGAAATATCATTGAATTTCTGGAATATCATTGAATTTCTATATTATCATTGAATTTCTGGAATATCATTGAATTTCTATAGCATCATTTAATTTCTGTAATATTATGGAATATCTGTAAAATAACTAACTAAATTCTTGAAATATTGTATTTCTGCAATATCATTAAACTTTTGTAATATCATAGAATTTTTTAAATATTGGTTTTATAATATCATTGAATTTCTGGAATACTCTGATTTTTTTTTTTTAGATTTAGAATTTCTGGAATATTGTTAAATTTCTATAGTATCATCAAATGTTTCCAATATTATTGAATTCTTTTAAGTGTCATTGAATTTATGAAATATGGATTTTTCTGAAAATCAGAATGTATTAAGTATGAAGTTTTATGAATATCATGGAATTTATTAAATATGGAACTTCTGGAATATGTCATTTCTGGATTGGCATTGAAGTTTTAGAATTTTATGGTATTTCTGTAATATCATTGAATTTATAAAATATTGAATTTCTGCAGTATCGTGGACTATTTAAAATATAATTTAATTCTGTAAAATGGCATTTCTGTAATATTGAATTTTTAAAATATTATTAAATTTCAGGATTATTATAAATGTTTTAAAAATATTTACTTTTTATAATATCATGAAATATCTAATGTAACTGAACTTTTGAAGTATGGTATTTCTGGAATATCATTGAATTTCTATAATATCATCAAATTTTTGTAATATCATTGAATTTCTGGAATATCATGGAACCTTTGAAATATCATGGGATTTTTTTTTTAGAATGTCGTGGAATTTTTAGATTTTCATGGAACTTATTGAACTTTTGAAATATTGATCTTCTGGAGTATCACTGAATTTCTGTAATACAGACTTTTTTATGTCATTGAATTTCTATAATATCATGGCATTTCTGTAATTTTGAATTAATGTTATTAAGTTTTTAAAATATTGAATGTATTCAATATCGTAAAATTTCTGGAATTTTATGGAATTTCTGGAATATTGTTGAATGTTTCGAATATCATTGAATTTCTGTAATATCATTGAATTTTTGAGACCGTCTTATTTCGAGATATTGAAATTAGACCGAATTATTGAGGCTGTCTTATTTGTTTTACATGTTTTATCTGTTGTCATGTTTTTATACCAGTTTATTTTTTTCCATTTGTCATTTAGCAATCAAATATATTAAAACTAAATGATATTAAATCACAGTTCACAATATCCAGAATCAAAAAAATTAATGCAAGTCAATGAGGATGGAGAACGACAACCCTAAAACATGATCAATTCTGAGTGCGCCTCACACGCGAGTGGGCTTGACAAACCACCTGCAGAAACACTCTCCATCCGCCAACTGCGTACCATCTAGTTCTTTCCTGCATTACATTTAATTTACTAAACAAGCATTGAATTCATTTTACGAAAGGCGCAAGTAAAAATTAATTTGAAAAAGGTACAATACGACGATCCTCAAAGGTAACATTTCTGTAAATGATCAGGAATTAATGATATTAAAATAGGAAAAACGTTATTTTAAATTGTAACATTTACAGCATTAAAACTTTAAGTCTCAGTTAAATAAATGCGTTCATGGCGAGCAGTCTTCATTAAAATAGATAGAAATTAACCTCAAACCGCTCTGAACTTGTGTGTATAGTAGTGTTTGAGTATATTGTGCATACAGATTAATAGGCGGCAGTGGGAGATTTTGGCAGCGTGTTGTCGATATGCTGTAGGTTTCATCCATCAACTCCTCTCTCCATCCTGACGGCATTCTTGCTATGTCAGATATTCACACTTGGATCTGTCGTTCATTTATAATCTTTCCTCTTATCGTCCGTCCGCTGATTAAAGCCCCTCGAGTGCTGTCGTCAACACCCTCCAGTGTGAAATATGACATGACACTGTAATCTCTGCCCACTTTCATTTGGACCCTACGCAAAATACAACAACAACGACAACTGTACAACACGCCAGTCAATAAGCAGGCCTACTGCTGGTGAAATGAATCAGGAAGGCAGGCCTCTGTGGTGGGCTTTAACTGTTACTTAAAGCATCGCAGACCTTAACATATGGAATTAATGTTGTGTTTCTGCTGTTGTTTTGTGTTGGGTTTTGGTGTATTTTGCTGTGGTTGTGTTGGGTTCTGTTGTGGGTCATTGCTGTTTTGTGTTGAGATTTGTGCTGTGTTTTGTTGTGCTTGTGTTGGATTTTGTTGTTGTGCTTGTTGGAATTTGTTGTGTGTTTTGTTGTGGGTTGTGTTTTGTTGTTGTGGTGTGTTTTGTTGTGGGTTGTGTTTTGTTGTTGTGCTTGTGTTGGATTTTGTTGCTGTGGTGTGTGTTGTTGTTGGGTTGTTGTTTTGTGTTAGTTTGTGGTGTGTTTTGTTGTTGGGTTGTTTTTGTTTTGGGTTGAGTTTGTGGTGTGTTTTGTTGTTGGGTTATTTTGTGTGTTGTTGTGGTTAAGTTTTTGTTTTGTGTTAGTTTGAGGTGTGTTTTATTGTGGTTGTTGTTGGGTTGTTGTTTTGTTTTGGGTTGGGTTTGTGGTGTGTTGTTGTTGGGTTGTTGTTGTTT